AACAAGGCGATAGGGGCCTATTTCTGATCTCACGGCCCGGGGACGATTTCTCCTGCGGCTCGAGGAATTAATCCCGTGTAAATGTGGTTAGGATCAGCCTCCTGATGGGGATTTTACTTGGCAGTAGCCTGTGAAGACACAGTATTTTGGCAAGAAAAAAAAAAAAAAGCGGCTCTGCCAACCCTATTCCGGTTTCCATTCATTTGCGTCCCAGGGCTAACTTGTAGTCATCTCTGTATGCTTACAGAGATGTAAGGTCTTCACCAGGACCCGACTAGCGCCAGGTCTGCTTAAAGGGTAGGTGCCGGACGGGCGGGCGGGCGGCTCGCTGTCCTCCCCAGGGACCCCCGGCCGCCGCCCCGCCGCGTCCTCGGCTCAGCACCCCCAGCCTCTCCGAGAGGGGGAGCGAGCATGGCGAAAGAAGTGCTCCTAAACTGAAGCGTTTCTCCGTTCCTCCGTAAAACCAGATGAAAACCCGCCCTTGAGCCCGGCGGGTGCGCGGTAAGGCAGAGTTCCCTGACACAGCGAGAGGAGCTGATCGCAGTACGAAATGGAGAGGGGAGGGCAGAAGAGCCTGCGCCCTCCCGCCCCTTTGCATCCGTTTGTCCTGCAGTTATTCAAAATGATTGAGTTTTCTGAAGAAGGTCCTTTAGAGAGAGAACAAAACCAGCAACAACCTCTTCCTCCAAAAACAACAAGAATATCAACCTGTCCACTGGCAAGGCTTCGGAGCTTAGAGGCATTATAGTAAAATTTATGGCGTCCTTAACAACTCCCAATAAAGGCATTAAAATTCCCTTTAATTGAGAAGACATTGATTTTTAACTCTGGAAAGAACGAACCCGTAATTTAATTGCAAGCTTTCACCGACAGAGCAGCATCTCAGGGAGGCCACATTCCATCTTTAATAGAGCCACTTTATGAAGTGATAAAAACAAAGAAAACCTGACAAACAGAGACAGTTCCAACTGCGCAAGAAAAGTTATCTGCTTTCCCTTTCCCTCTTCGCAGCTCCAAACTATCGCGCTCTTCTCTCCCTCTTCATCCCCCAGTCACAAAACACAAGTGTAAAAGCAAAGGGTTTGGGGTCCAAGGGAGAAACAATAGTCAATATCTTAAATAACGATTTGCTTTTACTAGGCAAGGAATGATGCCAAGAGTTTTAAGGGAACATTTTCACAAAATGGTAGCCTCTTCTGAACAGGAAACTGATCAGATAAAACTTCCTTACTCTTCCTTGTTCGTTACAAAAATCATTGCTAAAGAGAAGGAAAGGGAAATCCCTTTCTGTCTTATTTCAGTATCGGTTTTTGGTATTACAGAAGAGTAAAGAAGTTTTTGTTTGGTGGTTTTTCATTGATCAGTCACTCTGAGCTAATGTAATTATCCTCATCAATAGAAGGCTGCAGAGAGAATCATTATGTGGGTGACATTGATAAATGATCACCCAAGAGCTGCCTTTTCTCTTGGGCACCCCCACATATGACCCTCCCACATACACAAGGTAGCCATAGAAACACCTTGAGATCGTCAAGCACTGCTGCAAATGGGAGAATGCGGAGAAAGAGAGAGAAATCCAACTTCACACACTTTCTGTCCCTGTTGAAGCCTCCTTCCCATAGCACGGAGCCACTGAGCCGGGCTCCGCTCCGCTGTCCTGCACCGTGGGCACGCAGCCGGGGCCCGGCCTCGCGCCCTTTCACGGCACCATACTAAGTATTGGGGGGAGGGGGAAGTCTTATGGGGTTTGCCTCTGGCTTTTTTTGATCTGTTTTTTCACTTTCTTTCTCTGTAAAAATTAAGCAATGAGGTTGCATGTACCATACGTATTCTACGCGCATAGCGTAACCCCCCAGTTTGAAAGTCGTTCTTGGAGATGCGCAGCCACAATATTCACCCCGTCCCCAGTAGCGCGACTCTTAGAAAAATGATTTAACCCAAAGTAGTAGCAGCGATTTTTTTTAGTCACAGGACTATACAGGAAGATTCTGTGTTTCTTACGACGGCAAAGATTAATTTTTTTTTCCTCCGGCCGCAACCCTCCTTTTTATGTAAGCAAATTCTAAAATATTGAGAGCAGTAATTGATTCATAATGATCCATAAATCCATGAAAGGAATGGGGCGAGGGTGGGGGTTTTTTGTGTTTTGTTTTTTTTTTTTTTTTTTTTTTTTATTATTATTCCTAAAGCTGCAAGTAAAGTAGGTTTGACACCGTGTGGGGATGAAGGGGAGGAGTTGTTTAGCCGTGCGGGGTCATCCATCATCACTGTCGCAGAGACTCTGCCCAGAGGAACAACCTCCCTTCTGTCTGTCTCTTTCTCGCCACCAAAACTATTAATATTAAAATCTGCCTGCAACCCTTGCCCCCACCCTCCCCTCATCTCGCCCGGTCCTGTTCATCCCTTAGCGGCTGGGCTGCCCAACCTGGAGCTGGCTCGCTTCCGCGCAGCGCCAGCGGCGTTGATTTTTCCCCAAATGCTGTCAGGAGAGTTAAAAATCCGGCCCAATTTCCTGTCAGCTGAATCCAGGGACGTGGTAGGGGAGATTTGTGGGGCACAGACACCCTCCCACGCAGTGGAGCCCTCTCTTGCCACTCCGCACACCGCGGCGACGCAGTCGCGCCTGGGAAAAAGATTCGGGCGTTTTCCGGGCTCCATGGGATTTCTTCCCAGCACACGTATCAGGGGTATAGCGGGGCTAGTGGCTCCGGACCGGCCTCCGCAAAGGCGCCACCAGGAGACCCTTACTCCCCCGGGAAGCCTGGGGAGCCGCCGGAGGGATGGGCGAAACCTACCGGGAGAGCGGGTCCAGCCTGTGACCCCGCCGCACCCCTTTCCCTGCCCGGCCCGGTCCCGGCCCCCCCCCCCCCCCCCCCCCCCCCCGACCCTCGCAAACCTGGTTGGGGGCAATTCTCTCTCCCTCGCTCTCTCTGCGGCTAGGAGTGAAAGGGGGGCGCGCCCGGCTCCCCCCTGCATCTCCTCTTCGGCCCCGCGGTGCCCGCTCGCCGCGACGGGCAGGGCTCGGGCGGCAGCGCTGCCGGAGGTGCGCTCCCCTCCTCTCTTCGTTTTAAAGGCAGCAAAATCTGGAAGAAAAATCCCTCATTTATGGTGACTACAAGTCCCAGCCCAGACCCGATCGGCGAAATGGAAATTTGGGATTATAAACATGTGTGTATGTAAACAAAAGGTGTTTCTTCTGTTACCCTTCTTTTCCCACAGCATAAGCAATTTTTATTCAGATTCGAGTATTTTCTTTAACGCTATACCGCTGTCAAAACATTATTCCCGTTTTGTTTGCTTTTGACAGCTGAGAGGTTCTTAAAAATAACAAAATCGGAACCTTCCATGCTAAACAGTAAATCTCAGATGGAGAAATCTCTGCACGATATTGTACCTTGGATTTCAGCAAGACATTCCACGGAAAGCACAGCCCAAAAGCGTGAGAAAAAAAAAAAAAAAAAAGAAAGAAAATAAAAAACCAACACAGCAATGCACATATTTAGTTCATTATAAAAACAAATAATCTACTATAGATAAATTCTTCCCTGTCCTTCTACCGGTGCGAGGACCTTTTCTAACATTTCTCCTCAAATTGTAGGGAAAACATCTGAAAGGAAATAAAGTCCTGATTAAAAAAAATTGAAAGCCTCTCCTTTAAAGTGTTAACACAAATATCTTGCCTTCATGTTTTCCGCATCCACAAAAATCAGAGACTTTGGAAATGGGAACCCAGGGTGTGCTCTTCTCACATGACTGAAGGGTTGATGTGATTTTAACCACGACAGAGAGTATCAAAGCCAAGCGGGGAATTATCATCTTAATTTCATACAAATGCCTTATAAAAGATGCCCACAAAACAGGACCCGAGTGCTAAATAAATCCTCACACCCATTCTACTGGCATCCTCCCTTCTGTCGCGAGCAGCGTGGGTCCATTTACTCAGCTCAGAAATCAAACATTCACTATGAGGTTGAGCCTCTTTCCACATTCCAGAAGTAAAAGTTGTCACTCAAAGTTTTCAATAACACCCCGGCCAGTGGGAATGATGAGGAGGAGGAAGGAGAAGGGTTACAAATTTACAGATGTTGAAGTCAGTAACTTTTGTTTCCTAGAAAGTTGTAATTACAAGCCCTTTCTCACTCCTCATCTCCCAGAAATAAAGGCAGTTTTCCCCTGCTCTTTGGGCCCCATCCTGCTCTTGCTGACTTAACCGTGCCACCGAGGACAGTGAGAGGCTGCTGTTTCTAACAATGCTCGTCTTCCTATTTCAAACTCTCCTTTAGTTGCTTCAAAATGCCATAAGCTTTTGTTTAAGTAAAACCAAACCTTCACCCATGATTCTACTCCAGCTATTTATATACAAAATGTCAAATCAACATTTTCCCTCATTAGCCGATGGTTTGTTGTTTTGGGTTTTTTTGTTTGGTTGGTTTTTTTCTTCTGAAAACAGCTGAAGACAAGAAAAGCAGTAAAAACCATCTCAAAAACTAGATTACACAACACTCGCACAGAAAAAAATTCCCATTAAACTCAAAGCTTCTTTTCTCCTCCTAAAACTTTCAAACCTACTCCTGCAATAAGGCCATTCTTCCCCTCTGAGCTAAATACCTGGAGTTAAGGTCTGTGGTGGTTATGAATGCACACACACATACATGTAACACACATGGGATTAGTTGTCTCGTGTCTGGACCCTCACAACTCAAACTCAGCTAATATGTTATTAGCAGATAGTATGGATATTAGACACATCTCTCTGAAATGCAAGCTAGTGAGACAATATTTCAGATTTTGCTTAGTCTGGCATAAATCTAATATCAATAATCAGCAGAAATATATAACCTCAGATGTCCTTTCATTCAACTATTCTATTAATGCAATGACAAGCTTGTTTCTGATTTTTCCAACCTTTCTTCTCAATGCTGATAAAAAATGTGTTCAAGACATCTCTCATGATAACTTCACATTATCCTAAACATAATTAAAACCACAAAAGCCTAACA